ATATTGGTTACTAGGGTCATCATACTGGTTAGGACCCATTTGGTTACTAGGTCATCATACTGGTTACTAGGGACGCCATACTGGTTACTAGGGTCACTATATTGGTTACTAGGGTCATCATACTGGTTACTAGGGACTCCATACTGGTTACTAGGGACGCCATATTGGTTACTAGGGACTCCATATTGGTTACTAGGGACTCCATACTGGTTACTAGGGTCACTATATTGGTTACTAGGGTCATCATACTGGTTACTAGGGACGCCATACTGGTTACTAGGGACATTATTGGTTACTAGGGACGCCATATTGGTTACTAGGGACGCCATACTGGTTACTAGGGTCACTATATTGGTTACAAGGGTCACTATATTGGTACTAGGGTCATCATACTGGTTACTAGGGACTCCATACTGGTACTAGGGGCGCCATATTGGTTACTAGGGTCTCTATTGGTTACTAGGGACGCCATACTGGTTACTAGGGACGCCATATTGGTTACTAGAGGACCATATTGGTTTAGGGACGCCATACTGGTTACTAGGGACGCCATATTGGTTACTAGGGACGCCATATTGGTTAGGACATCATGCAGTTACTAGGGACGCCATACTTGGTTACTAGGAACGCCATATTGGTTACTAGGACGCCATATTGGATACTAGGGACGCCATATTGGTTACTAGGGACGCCATATTGGTTACTAGGGACGCCATATTGGTTACTAGGGACGCCATATTGGTTACTAAGGACGCCATATTGGTTACTAGGACGCCATATTGGTTACTAGGGACGCCATATTTACTAGGACGCCATATTGGTTACTAGGGACGCCATATTGGTTACTAGGGACGCCATATTGGTTACTAGGGACGCCATACTTGTTACTAGGGACGCCATACTGTTTACTAAAGAGAACGAATTCGACAGAGACAGAACTAATTGGACAGGCGGACAGACATACCAATAAACAGAGACTGTCAGCTGCTTCTGTTAGGTTAAAAAGAGCCGTCAACAGTGATGGCGTTAAATCCAATAAACCACAGGTGTGTCGGCTGTCTGGCTGACACACACACACACACACACACACACACACACACACACACACACACACACACATACACACACACACACACACACACACACACACACACACACATACACACATACACACACACACATCGCTACCACACACACACACATCCTGCCCCCACACAGACACACATTGCTGCCACACACACACACACATCGCTGCTCCACACACACACACACGTCGCTGCCACACACACACACACACACACACACACGTCGCTGCCACACACACACACACACACGTCGCTGCACACACACACACACATCGCTGCCACACACACACACACGCGCCCCCACACACACACATCGCTGCCACACACACACACACACACGTCGCTGCCACACACACACACGTCGCTGCCCCACACACACACACGTCCTCCACACACACACACACACACACAGGTCCTCCCCTACCATGCACTCGTATTTTGTAACACCAACGCCAAAATAATATGACCCGACCTTTAAACTTTGGCGAAATCAAAGAGACAATTTTTGAGATATTTTCCTGGCCCAGTACCTGTCTCTCCGTCCTGAGAGACACTGAGGGTTGGGACGGTGAATAGGACAGTGGGGAGACAGAGTGAGAGACAGTAGAGTGAGGAGGCAGTAGAGTGAGGAGACAGTAGAGTGAGAGACAGTAGAGTGAGGAGACAGAGAGTGAGGAGGCAGTAGAGTGAGGAGACAGTAGAGTGAGAGACAGTAGAGTGGAGAGAGACAGTAGAGTGAGGGAGACAGTAGAGTGAGGAGACAGTAGAGTGAGGAGACAGTGATGAGAGAGACAGTGGAGTGAGGAGACAGTAGAGTGGGAGGACAGTAGAGTGGGAGAGACAGTAGAGGTGAGGACAGTAGGAGAATGGGGAGAGACAGTAGAGTGGGGACAGTAGGGTGGGGAGACAGTAGAGTGAGGAGAGACAGTAGAGTGGGGAGACAGTAGAGTGAGGAGACAGTGGGGAGTGGGGGAGACAGTGGGGGGGAGACAGTAGAGTGAGGGAGGCAGTAGAGTGGGGAGACAGTAGGTGAGGGAGACAGTGAGTGGGGGAGACAGTGGGGTGAGAGACAGTAGAGTGAGGGGAGACAGTAGAGTGGGGGAGACAGTAGAGTGAGGAGACAGTAGAGTGAGAGAGACAGTGAGTGGGGAGACAGTGGGGTGAGGAGACAGTGGGGTGAGACAGTAGAGTGAGGGAGACAGTAGGTGGGGAGAGACAGTAGAATGAGAGACAGTAGGTGAGAGACAGTGGGGAGTGGGAGGACAGTAGGTGGGGAGACAGTGAGTGAGAGACAGTAGAGTGAGGGAGGCAGTAGAGTGGGGGAGACAGTAGAGTGAGGGAGACAGTAGGTGAGGAGAGACAGTAGAGTGAGGGGAGACAGGTGGGGTGAGACAGTAGAGTGAGAGACAGTGAGTGGGGGGCAGTAGAGTGGGAGAGACAGAGTAGAATGAGAGACAGTAGGTGAGAGACAGTAGAGTGGAGAGACAGTAGAGTGAGAGAGACAGTAGAGTGAGAGACAGTAGAGTGAGGGCAGTGAGTGAGAGACAGTAGAGGTGAGAGGGCAGTGAGGTGAGGGACAGTGGGGTGAGAGACAGTAGGTGAGAGAGACAGTAGAGTGAGGGAGACAGTAGAGTGAGGAGACAGTAGAGTGGAGAGAGACAGTAGAATGAGAGACAGTAGAGTGAGAGACAGTAGAGTGAGAGAGACAGTAGAGTGAGAGACAGTAGAGTGAGGGCAGTGGAGTGAGAGACAGTGGGTGGGGAGACAGTAGAGTGGGGAGACAGTAGAGTGAGAGAGACAGTAGAGTGAGAGAGACAGTAGAGTGAGAGACAGAGGAGAATGAGAGAGACAGTGAGTGAGGGAGACAGTAGAGTGAGAGGGCAGTAGAGTGAGAGAGACAGTAGAGTGAGAGAGAGACAGTAGAGGAGGAGAGACAGTAGAGTGAGAGAGACAGTAAAGTGGGGAGACAGTGGAGTAGGGGAGACAGTAGAGTGAGGGAGACAGTAGGTAGAGAGACAGTAGAGGTGGGAGAGACAGTAGAGTGAGAGACAGTAGAGTGAGAGAGACAGTAGGGAGTGAGGAGAGACAGTAGAGTGAGACAGTAGAATGAGAGAGAGACAGTAGAGTGAGGGAGACAGTAGAGTGAGAGGACAGTACAGTGAGAGAGACAGTAGAGTGAGAGAGACAGTAGGGTAGAGAGGACAGTAGAGTGAGAGAGACAGTGAGTGAGGGGGGACAGTAGAGTGAGGGAGACAGTAGAGTGAGGGAGACAGTAGAGTGAGGAGAGACGGAAGTGAGAGAGAGAGACAGTAGGTGAGAGAGACAGTAAAGTGGGGAGACAGTAGAGTGAGAGACAGTAGAGTGAGGGAGACAGTAGGGTGAGAGAGACAGTAGAGGTGAGAGAGACAGTAGAGTGGGGAGACAGTAGGTGGGGAGACAGTAGAGTGGGAGAGACAGTAGAGTGAGAGAGACAGTAGGAGTAGGAGACAGTGAGTGAGACAGTAGAGTGAGGGAAGTGAGGAGACAGTAGAGTGGGGAGACAGTAGAGTGAGAGAGACAGTAGAGTGAGGAGACAGTAGAGTGAAGAGACAGTAGAGTGAGAGAGACAGTAGAGTGAGAGACAGTAGAGTGAGAGAGACAGTAGAGTGGGGAGACAGTAGAGTGAGGGGAGACAGTAGAGTGAGGGAGACAGTAGGAGTGAGAGACAGTAGAGTGAGGAGACAGTAGAGTGGAGAGAGACAGTAGATTGAGGGGAGACAGTAGAGTGAGAGAGACAGTAGAGTGGGGAGACAGTGGGTGAGGAGACAGTAGGTGGGGGACAGTAGAGTGAGGAGACAGTAGGTGAGGAGACAGTAGAGTGGGGAGACAGTAGAGTGAGGGAGACAGTAGAGTGAGAGAGACAGTAGAGTGGGGGAGACAGTAGAGTGAGGGAGACAGTAGGTGGGGAGAGACAGTAGGTGGGAGAGACAGTGGAGTGGGGAGACAGTTGAGTGAGGAGAGACAGTAGAGTGAGGGAGACAGTAGAGTGAGAGAGACAGTAGAGGAGAGACAGTAGAGTGGAGAGAGACAGTAGAGTGAGACAGTAGAGTGAGGAGACAGTAGGTGAGAGAGACAGTAGGTGGAGAGGACAGTAGAGTGAGGGAGACAGTAGAGTGAGAGAGACAGTGAGACCCTCCACACAACCAAGGAACTATTCTTTCCGCTGTACAAACTTGAAGACAAAAATTACCCCCAGGAGACAACAATGAAAAACTTGAAATAAAATCCAATAAAAAAACAGCAAAATAAAATAAATATTGAAGAATTTATAGCACTGTAGGTTAAAGCACACACACACACACACACACACATCCTTGACCACCGAAGGGTCAAGACGTACCTGGCGCTCCTCTCAGGCAGCCAGATCCCTGTTAAGTTGGCCCATACCAACTCCTTCCCTGAACCTCCTCACCGGAATATCAACAAGTTCTCTCCAGAGTTACTATTTCATTTAGGAAAGGAATGGAACCAGTGTTAAACAGAGGTGAACAGTGGTGAACAGTGCTTAAGTCAGTGAGAACAACTCAACAGTAACAGTCATTACCCAAGTTCCTTCACACAGTGAGGTCCCAGGTACCAGTGATGGCGCCCGTGAGACCCAACAACAGCCAGCGATGTGTTAATCCGTCTACGATAGGAAGGCCTGGGACCACACCTCACTCATATAACACCATCTGTGAGGGAATTACTACACCACGTCAATTATTATTATTATTATTACATACACACGCACACACACACACACACACACACGTTTTCTCTCCCTTGTCATCTCTCTCTCCTGTGTATATGTGTGTGTGTGTGTGTGTGTGTGTGTGTGTGTGTGTGTGTGTGTGTGTGTGTGTGTGTGTGTGTGTGTGTGTGTGTACATCTTACCTCCCTCCTGAGAACGTGACAGTCACACACCTGTACCCCTCAACACACCTGTAAGAAGAAGACACAACTGTTAACACAATCACCACGAGATAATACTAAGTGTTTAATATGGTAATAATGTCACACCTGTTGTTGTTATTGATGGGAGTACTGAACGAGTGCTATGTTATGAGATGTTATGTGATGTTATGTTATGTGATGTTATGTTATGTGATGTTATGTTATGTTCAAGTGTTAGTAATGGTGGGTACTAGTGGTAATTACCGAATTATTGTAACGGGTGTAATTATTGTTCAATGTTACATAATTATATAATATGTGTAATTAGTACGACTGAACATTACATAATTATATAATGGGTGTGATTTATTTTGAACATAACTAAATTAATGTTCACAGAGCCAGGGGAGGGTGAACTGTTCAACCTGACAGTAGTGTAAGTGTTCATGTGTTCATAATTAAGCCCCTGATATGACTGTTCATACTTAATGTTGGTCCTCGAAAATTTATGTTCTACAATTCATGCCAGCAATGTTCAAATTAATACCCATAATATACTGTACTGTGTTAAATGTTCAGCTTTGACAGTAAAGTTCAAATTTGATGGTGAACTGTTCATATTAATAATAAAATACATAGTTATTACTGAGCCTTTAATATTAATGTTCATAAGTCAAATTAATCCTGTAGTGACATAGAGTATATAATGATTACTGAGCCTTTATAATATATGTTCATCATTCGTGTTGAACTGTTCAAATAACTAACATAAAAACGTGAGCACTAGTCAGTTGTTCACACTAATGTTCAATATCGGTAGTGAATAGTTCAACATCACGAGTTATGGTAAATGGAGAACTAGTCAAACTGGTGATTAAACCTAACCCTGTGCATCCTTAACCAAATTAAACCTAACCCTGTGCATCCTTAACCAAATTAAACCTAACCCTGTGCATCCTTAGCAAATTAAACCTAACCCTGTGCATCCTTATCCAAATTAAACCTAACCCTGAGCATCCTTAGCAAATTAAACCTAACCCTGTGCATCCTTAACCAAATTAAACCTAACCAAACTTAGTTAGCTCTAAAGTAACCTAATTAACTAAAACTAACCTAGCTTAATGAAAATCCTCTCCAAACCTTACTTAATCTAACCCAAAGCAAACTTAACCTAACCTAACCATACCTAAGCTTCTACTGTAGGTTTGACTGATCTGTATTTATGTAAAGTGAAATTCTAACCTCATTTCGAGGCGACCCCCTCAACCAGCAACACACAACACTTCTAACAAAAAACTACTTTGGAACAACACAGAGTCAGAATCCAGAAGTTTGCCTAAGTTTCACCAGAGAGACAAGTTTACGTGTCAGGTACACTTACAGTGGTGTGGTTAAGGTTGGGTTTACGTGTCAGCTATGGGTACAGTCGTTAGGTTAGGATTACGTGTCAGCTATGGGTACAGTCGTTAGGTTTACGTGTCAGCTGGGTACAGTGGTTGGAGTTGGTTTACAATGTCAGCTATGGGTACAGTGGTTGGGTTAGGTTTGCAGCATGAAGTTTGACTATGGGTACAGTCGTTAGTTAGGTTTACGTGTCAGCTATGGTACAGTCGTTGGGTAGGTTTACGGGTCAGCTATGGGTACAGTCGTTGGTTAGGTCAACATGGGTACAGTGGTTGGAGTTTACGGGTCCTATGGTACAGTCGTTAGTTGAGTTTACGTGTCCATTGCAGTGGAGGGTTTACGGTCAGCTATGGGTACAGTCGTTAGGTTGGTTTACGTGTCAGCTAGGGTACAGTAGGTTAGGTTTACGTCAGCTATGGGTACAGTCGTTGGGTTAGGTTTACGTGTCAGCTATGGGTACAGTGGTTAGGGTTGGGTTTACGGGTCAGCTATGGGTACAGTCGTTAGGTTAGGTTTACGTGTCAGCTATGGGTACAGTGGTTAGGTTAGGTTTACGTGTCAGCTATGGGTACAGTCGTTAGGTTAGGTTTACGTTAACGCTATGGGTACAGTGGTTAGGTTAGGTTTACGTGTCAGCTATGGGTACAGTGGTTAGGTTAGGTTTACGGGTCAGCTATGGGTACAGTCGTTAGGTTAGGTTTACGTGTCAGCTATGGGTACAGTGGTTAGGTTAGGTTTACGGGTCACTATGGGTACAGTCGTTGGAGTTGGTTTACGTGTCAGCTATAGGTACAGTCGTTAGGTTAAGGTTTACGGGTCAGCTATGGGTACAGTGGTTGGGATTGGGTTTACGGGTCAGCTCGGGTACAGTCGTTAGGTTAGGTTTACGTGTCAGCTATGGGTACAGTGGTTAGGTTAGGTTTACGGGTCAGCTATGGGTACAGTCGTTAGGTTAGGTTTACGTGTCAGCTATGGGTACAGTCGTTAGGTTAGGTTTACGTGTCAGCTATAGGTACAGTCGTTGGGTTGGGTTTACGTGTCAGCTATGGGTACAGTGGTTAGGTTAGGTTTACGTGTCGCTATGGGTACAGTGGTTAGGTTAGGTTTACGGGTCAGCTATGGGTACAGTCGTTAGGTTAGGTTTACGTGTCAGCTATGGGTACAGTCGTTGGGTTAGGTTTACGGGTCGCATTCTGTCGTTAGGTTAGGTTTACGTGTCAGCTATGGGTACAGTGGTTAGGTTAGGTTTGGTCAGCTATGGGTACAGTCGTTAGGTTAGGTTTACGTGTCAGCTATGGGTACAGTGGTTAGGTTAGGTTTACGGGTCAGCTATGGGTACAGTCGTTAGGTTAGGTTTACGGGTCAGCTATGGGTACAGTCGTTAGGTTAGGTTTACGTGTCAGCTATGGGTACAGTCGTTAGGTTAGGTTTACGTGTCAGCTATGGGTACAGTGGTTAGGGTTGGGTTTACGGGTCAGCTATGGGTACAGTCGTTAGGTTAGGTTTACGTGTCAGCTATGGGTACAGTGGTTGAGTTGGGTTTACGTGTCAGCTATGGTACAGTCGTTAGGTTAGGTTTACGTGTCAGCTATGGGTACAGTCGTTAGGTTAGGTTTACGTGTCAGCTATGGGTACAGTGGTTAGGTTAGGTTTACGTGTCACTATGGGTACAGTGGTTGGGTTAGGTTTACGTGTCAGCTATGGGTACAGTGGTTAGGTTAGGTTTTACGGGTCAGCTATGGAATTGCAGTCGTTAGGTTAGTTTACGTGTCAGCTATGGGTACAGTCGTTGAGTTGGGTTTACGTGTCAGCTATGGGTACAGTCGTTAGGTTAGGTTTACGTGTCAGCTATGGGTACAGTGGTTGGGTTGGGTTTGCGGTCAGCTATGGGTACAGTCGTTAGGTTAGGTTTGGTCAGCTATGGGTACAGTGGAGTTAGGTTTACGTGTCAGCTATAGGTACAGTGGTTAGGTTAGGTTTACGGGTCAGCTATGGGTACGGTCGTTAGGTTAGGTTTACGGGTCAGCTATGGGTACAGTCGTTGGTTAGGTTTACGTGTCAGCTATGGGTACAGTCGTTAGGTTAGGTTTACGTGTCAGCTATGGGTACAGTCGTTGGGTTGGTTTACGTGTCAGCTATGGGTACAGTCGTTAGGTTAGGTTTGCGTGTCAGCTATGGGTACAGTCGTTAGGTTAGGTTTACGTGTCGCTGGGTACAGTGGTTAGGTTAGGTTTACGTGTCAGCTATGGGTACAGTGGTTAGGTTAGGTTTGGGTCGCTGGGTACAGTGGTTAGGTTAGGTTTACGTGTCAGCTAAGGGTACAGTGGTTAGGTTAGGTTTACGTGTCAGCTAATGGGTACAGTCGTTAGGTTAGGTTTACGTGTCAGCTATGGTACAGTGGTTAGGTTAGGTTTACGTGTCAGCTATGGTACAGTGGTTAGGTTAGGTTTACAGATTCAGCTATGGGTACAGTCGTTAGGTTAGGTTTACGTGTCACTATGGGTACAGTGGTTAGAGTTGGGTTTACGTGTCAGCTATGGGTACAGTCGTTAGGTTAGGTTTACGTGTCAGCTATGGTACAGTGGTTAGGTTAGGTTTACGTGTCAGCTATGGGTACAGTGGTTAGGGATTGGGTTTACGGGTCAGCTATGGGTACAGTCGTTAGGTTAGGTTTACGTGTCGCTATGGGTACAGTGGTTGGGTTGGGTTTACGTGTCAGCTGTAGACGATCGTTGGATTAGGTTTGGGTCAGCTATGGGTACAGTCGTTGGGTTGGTTTACGTGTCAGCTATGTACTGATGGATGGAGTTAGGTTTACGTGTCAGCCCCAATGGTACAGTGGTTAGGTTAGGTTTACGTGTCCTTCATGGGTACAGTCGTTAGGTTAGGTTTACGTGTCGCTATGGTACAGTGGTTGGAGTTAGTTTTCCGTGTCGCTATGGTACAGTGGTTGGAGGTTAGGTTTACGGGTCAGCTATGGTACAGTCGTTAGGTTAGGTTTGCTGTCGCTATTGGTACAGTGGTTGGGTTAGGTTTACGTGTCAGCTATGGGTACAGTCGTTAGGTTAGGTTTACGTGTCGCTTTGGGTACAGTGGTTGGGTTAGGTTTGCATTGTCAGCTATGGGTACAGTGGTTAGGTTAGGTTTGGGTCAGCTATGGTACAGTCGTTGGGTTGGGTTTACGTGTCAGCTAGGTTTAGATGGTTAGGTTGGGTTACAGTGTCAGCTATGGTTGCAGTCGTTGGGTTAGGTTTACGGGTCAGCTATGGAACGGTCGTTGGGATTGGAGTTTACGTGTCAGCTATGGATTCAGATCGTTAGGTTAGGTTTACGGGTCAGCTATGCTTGAGTCGTTAGGTTAGGTTTGTGTCGGCTATGGGTACAGTCGTTGATTGGGTTTACGTGTCAGCTATGGGTACAGTCGTTAGGTTAGGTTACGTGTCAGCTATGGGTACAGTCGTTAGGATGGGTTTACGTGTCAGCTGTAAGCTGTGGTTAGGTTAGGTTTGCGTGTCAGCTATGGGTACAGTGGTTAGGTTGGGTTTACGGGTCAGCTGGGTACAGTCGTTGGGTTAGGTTTACGTGTCCTTTTTGGGTACAGTGGTTGGGTTAGGTTTA